TAAACCTAACCCTGACCCTAAACCTAACCCTAACCCTGACCCTAAACCTAACCCTAAACCTAACCCTAAACCTAAACCTAACCCTAAACCTAACCCTAAACCTAACCCTGACCCTAACCCTGACCCTAAACCTAACCCTAAACCTAACCCTAAACCTGACCCTAACCCTAAACCTAACCCTAAACCTAACCCTAAACCTAACCCCAAACCTAACCCTAAACCTAACCCTAAACCTAACCCTAAACCTAACCCTAAACCTAACCCTAAACCTAACCCTAAACCTAAACCTAACCCTAAACCTAACCCTAACAATAAACCCTAAACCTAACCTTAACCCTAAAATTCAGAAATGCATGGTAATGGACGATTTTAAAAAGCTACAAAAAACAATGAAATTTTCAAATGATAATTCGTTATTTTACTCACTCTTTACGAAGCAAGATCTCGTAAATGGGGCGGATACACAATTTTTATGACATTTAAAAATTCCCTCATTTGATCTTTAGTGCCACACGAGCGTCGCCACATATATTCATATAGATATGAGTCGAACTGCTCCTCCCCATGACAATTTTGGATATTTTGAACTTACCGCCGGACACCGGAGCACAATAAGACGACAGTGACGTAATATTTAATCACACCTTTCTAGATCCGCATGATTTTCAAGTACCATATACGAAAATTAATTTCTCTATTTTTCATCAATATTTCTAACATTCTGACAATTCCACACTCTCTGCATGAATTCCAAAAACATAAAATTTCAGTTTTAAAACCACAAAATTTAACTTTTCTTTGAATCTTCGTTAATTATTCACACGAAATCTTGTTCCAACCGGTTATTAAAATATTCCTTCGCCGCCACCACTTCCGACACTTCATCCAATAAAATTAACAACAATATCAACAAAGGGGAATGACTCCTGCCTTTCCTTGCACAAATTTTAAATAAATATGCAAATGACGTCATGGGTAATAATAACAATATTAGCCCATTTGTTTAATGGGAAGTGTGAATAATAACAATTTTTGCGGTGAATTAAAATTGGAGTAACCACTTCTGATACCGGGTCCGAATAGCCGCAGCCAAACTTTTCATTACAATTACAGATAAGACAGTAGCCGATTTGCCGCCATTAAAAAAAAAAAGCAACTTTGATCTTGAATGATGTCATGTTAATGATTATAGAACTGTATTTAAAATAGAATTAAAAAATACAATAAAATTATAAAAATAAACGTATTTTTACTTGCTTTTAGCTGTACGACACAATGTTCTTCGTGTTTCTTCATGAAAGTCTTCATATTATGGGACATTTCTCGATTGATAAAAATGGCTCCAAGATGGCAAACACACAGGAAGTATCCGTCATAACCGTCACGTGACCAGCCGAATAGATAAAGACCTCACGTGACCAGTCATCCACAAATGACGTCGTGCATCTAATTTAAAAATAAAATATTAAAGCATGGGGGTGGGCCGGGAGGGGGGCACATTTTTTATATATTTTACAAGGGGTGATAGGGGCAAGGGGGCCTTAAGCAAGCCCGATTCCCACCAAAAAAAAAAAAAAAAAAAAAAAAAAAAAAAAAAATTCCCAAAAGAAAAAAACAAAATTAAAAAAATAAAAAAAAACCTCCAAAAAAAAAAAATTATTTTTAATCCCCCCCCTTTNGAATAGTTTTTAGTTGTTCGACTCTTCGGTGGCAAGCCTTGTCACTTTGACAACCAAAATGGCTCAAACGTTAAGGCAGCTGGTCTACTTTAATAAAATAATTGGACAATCCAATACATTTTTTTAAATTTTGTCCCTGCTTTAAAACATTAATTCAGTGCTTATTTTTTTATATTTTTTTTTTGACTGACAAAATACCTTGAATTAAGATTTTTTTAAAGGGCTTTAATTAGACCTGCCAGCCGATTTTTTTTTTAAATTTCGGCTGGCTCACATAATTTTTTTTGGCGGATATCCGGATTAGCCGGATTTCTCCGTAAATTGACATTTGCGGCTGATTTTCGACTGATTACGAAATATTCGGCTGAAATTCGGCTGAAGCCTGGCCAATAATGAAGTAATAAAACTTCAGCAATAAAACACTTTTTCAATACTTCAGAAAAAGTTTTATTATTTCAAACCATAGGAAAAAAAAACAGTTTTATATGCTGTCCTACTAATACATTGCATGCATGCATTTCATTCATTCAGTTTCTGTCACTCAATACCTGATATCAGTTTGTAATTGTTATGAATAAAAAAAAACGCGATGTAGTTTACGGTGACTCGTTCATTTTTCGGCAGATTTACGGCGGACGAAATACGGCGGCTAATGCGGAGCGCCGCATATTTCCCGGCGGATTTTTGGCGGACGAAAATTCGGCGGCGTATTCGGCGCGTGGCGTCGGCTGAGGGGGTCTAGCTTTAATAATTATGTCACTTTTGATCACACTGTATGTAGAGCTCTGTGTTCAAGTAATCTTTTCCTTGTTTCGATTGAATATGTTGTTTTTTTAATTTTTTTTTATTCTTGATTATCCTTAAAATACTTAGTAATAGACCGTATTCACATACACAAACACACACAAAGATGAGATTGTGTCGTAATTATAGTATTTTTTTAATTTTAACTAAACTTTTTCATTTTAATTTGATTTTTTTTTTAATGTATATTAAAGCTTTTTAGACTTATCGAAGAGCACACAACTTTTTGAACACATTTGAATAGCAGGCAGGGGTTTTCAGGATTTAAAGATTACAGCATTGAATTTGCATACACTGTTTACGTTGAACCAGTTTTTCGGCCTACAACAAAGTTAATTGAAGATTCTGGAAAATGTTATCATGTTGAAGTTTTAAATGCCATAGTTGATACTGCTATTAAATTTTTGACAGAGTGTTTTTTGGGCTAATGAAACAACATAGCAACAGCTTTTTAAAAGGATTACAACCATGTCGTAAAGAACTTGTTGACAAAAAAATAATGCTTACTGAGAGTTTTAGAGCCAACTTAGAGGTCAGAGTTCACTGAGGGGGTCAGAGCCCGCAGAGAGGTCACAGGCCAATGAGAGGCCACACTGACCACACGATCAAGTCACAGGATGGCGTTAAGGACGAGAATCGGAGGGTCAACGTGCTGCCGTGACCTTGACAAGAGAGATAAATGATGTAGGCCAAGGGTCTCAAACTCAAGTTATACGTGGGGCCGCAGGAGGTAAAGTCTGAGTGAGAGCGGGCTGCATCAAGTATTTCACAAAAAGAGATGACACATTCAATAAAGTACAACTATTACGATCTGCTCAACCTTTATTAATAAGAAATAAAAACATTAAGAGCTCTCAAGAACTTTGATTCACTTTCTTCCTCCTACTCGTTGTTGCCAGAGACCTTGCAGCCCGTCTTCTTACACAGCTGAGCAACATTAGGCTTGAATGAGGAAGCAATTGAGATCCTCGAAATAGCTTAAAGATGCTCTTCAGTAAGTTTGGCCCTGAACTTTGACTTGATCCGCTTGAACAACCTAGAAATGTCAGTGAACGTGGAGGGCAAATCTCTCATAAATTGTCCAAGAAAAAGTCCGAAAAAAAATTTGAAAAGTGGCTCTGTTTGTTTTGAAATCTTCAAAACCTGTGTTTTAAGTCGAACTTTGGCCATGTTTCTATCATAAAATGCTATAAAAAATTTTTAGTCAGAATTTGAAAAAGGTTTTTACATTTACAATCAACGTCCAAATCTATACTAACATAATGAACATCAGATGTAGCCTATACCAGTTTGTGAGATTCAACTGAAACCCTTGCGTAGGGTCACATTATAGAAATGGGAATGCGAAAAACGCGCGGGTCCTATTAACACTGAATCTTCTTGCGGGCCGCGAGTTTGAGACCCCGGATGTAGACAGAATTAGACGCCAGATTCTGAGAAACAGATGGGAAAATGTTAAAGAATATTATAAAATATTAGTTTAGTTATGAAAATGTTATGTATGTTTTGGTTTTTTTAAGTGTGAAGAATGTGTGAAACTTTGTGGCAGAGGGGTTGGGGGGGGGGTTCTAAAAAGGTCATTTTTTGCGTCACGTAATTTGCGAAAGACCCTTAAGATTCTTATAGATAGGTCTACTTTGTAAACAAAAGGGCTACAACCAATGTTCCCTCTAAGGTTTGTTGGTTCGTGTGCAAAATCATACAGTTGTGTGCAAAGTTTTACAGCATCAATTTTTTGTGTGCAAAATTTTACAGCCCACAAACACAAACAAACACTTACATGGACATTTGATGCGCGGATACTCAAAACTGCTGCGCAGCGTCTGTGAGTTAGCTGCAGCCGCGCAGCTTAAAGGGAACATTGGCTACAACTACAATCAAGTGTTTCATTTTGTGTATTCAAGACAGTGGTAGACAGAGTGAATTTCTCTGCTAAATGGTTTTAGATTGGAAACGGAAGCACTATTGAATTTAGTCTTAATTTCTGAAATGCGTCCAATGGTTATTTTTTAATAAAAAAGAAAAAACTTGTTATATATTTTTTACTAATAATTAGAATTAGGCCCATTTTGATAGCATTAGCACATACTAATATAGATAACACAATTGAAAGTCGACCAAGTAATCAAACTGCAGAACAAAATTTCAATAACATTTGATGAACATTCTTTAGAGAAATTATAAATTCTAAATTGTGCTCATTGAAGGAATTGTGGCATATGCTCTGGACTCACATAATGTCACACAAATTTTGAGCCCCGTAGTAGTAGTGACTACATAGTACATAGTCATAACCATTTGGGTCATTTTGAAAATAATTGAAAATCGGTGGATTTCACCATCCAGCCTATATATTAAAACACATTCAAAATAATAAAGAATTTTTTTTTTTAAATTCACAGTGAAGAAAAGGAAGTTAAACTAAACTTTAACTTATGTTACTTTCAGTCAGTCTACTATTGAAACTATTGTTATCTCTAAACCAAATCTTCTTCTGCTTGAATTTAGATTGCGATAGGTAGACAAACCGCAAAGCTACCTGAAACTGAATTGCTGTAACTGTAACTAGTGTAACTGAATCTCTTAATAATAAAGAGTGGCCCAAAAGTCAAAGAAAAAAAAAAAATTATTCATTGAATTTATATAATTTAAAACTAGTAAAATGATAATCATCATCATTAGCTAAAATTTTAATGATACTTGTGTGCATTAAATTATGTCATTATATTATTATATAGTAATTACTACTTGAAGTACTTGACTACTTATTAGGCTTAGGCCTATGCCTATGCCTATGGCCTATGCCTGCACTACAGACTACTGTACTAGTACTGCTACTATTTTATTACTATTTAATTAATATAGGCCTAGCCTAATATAAATGTAATATATATTATATTGAAAATAATAAATACTGTAAACTTATTTATATTTTTGATGGATAATTAATTAATGTGGATTAAACTTGAAATAACAAACTTTACAAAAATTACAAACTGTTTATGTTAAATTTCAATCAAATTCAAATCAATATCACTCAAAATTGGACTAGGCAGGGTAGGCTCAATTATTAAATTATAAAATAATACAGTGAAAGTGCAGTTCTTTAATTAAAGAATACACATGACGTAATTCATGACATGCAAAAATATGAAAATCAGAAATTATGTAGGCCTACGCACCTAAACTCAAACTCTACTATAAAGTGGATTCAATTCAAATTGGAAAATTTGTAGTTAATTCACTAATAAAAATGCGGAGTTAACTGCTGCTGACTGTGTTCATTATCAAATTCTTTGAAATCATGGGCATGGGCTACTTCCATAATTGAATATGTCTTTTGTCTACTATTACCTATAACAGTGGTTCTCAACCTGTGGGTCGTGACCCCTTTGGGGGTCGCATGACCCTTTCACAGGGGTCGCCTAAGACCATCTGAAAACACATATCCTCTACTGTTATATCGTATCAACGAAAATATTTTTGTTGTTGCGGGTCGCCACAACATTAGAAACTGTTTTAAAGGGTCGCGGCATTAGAAAGGTTGAGAACCACTGACCTATAATGACCTGTCTATATATCTACAGTCTACAAGCTGAGCTTTTCTCTGTATTTTTGGCAGAAAAATACACTTTTTTGTATGTATTGTCCTTCAATGTTCCTCTACCCTGTATAATTTATACATTAATTAGGTCCACCAAGTACTACCATTTGGCCTACTACTAAATTTTTAATGTAACAGTAGGCACTGTTACTTGTAGACTGAATGGTTTCATTAAATTCATTAATCATTAGGATCTCTCATTATTATTATTGATATCATGATTCCATAATGTATTATCTCTTATTCACTGCAAGCAGTTCAAAGTTTTAAAATTTCAAAGAAATCAAAACAAGTCTAATTTACTCAATTCAAAAACAAATTCAAAACCCAAAGGTATATAAATAATATAGATAGACCTTGCCTAAGATATATTTATAATTTAAACTATATGAGTATTAGTACATCCACATAAATTGTTATAAATTAGATGACTTCAAGCCAGTTAAGCTTATACTTAAGGCTATGCCCATAACTTATGAAATAATGCTATTAAAAAAAACTACAATTTAAAACACACAAAAATGAGATATCCACTTAGGCTCCTCTGTGGATTGTTGATTCCCAGTATTTAACGCATTTAGTGAATCAAAACTTCATCAATTCATCAAAACCGACATCAAGTCTATTATTAAGTCAAAACAAATTTTCAATTTTCGTGTTAATTAGCCTTAGCAGATTTTATGTTTCCTAAACTCATCAATAGTAAATCCATTTGAACTATCATTTTTGAAAAAATTATTCTGTTTGCCATACTAAAAATAAATTCATGTTGCCCAATATTGTTCCAGGTTTCTAACTCTATATAATGACTGATGAGGAAGCCAAAGGAATTGAAAAGGGTAGGCTTAATATTTGAGCTCACAATTCATCACACTGAAATTTGAAATTTATAAACAATAGATTACCATAGTTTGACAATTAAATTTGACATTTGACAAATGAAGCACATTTGATTTGATTAATTAGAGAGATTCAAAAATTATTAAAACTTCTTTTTGCATTGTCACTCAAATTAAAATACTTTTTTTTCATGAAAAGAGAGAGAAAAAAAAGAGAACTATCAACATGCTTACATATAAATTATTTAGAAAAAAATATTCAACTCATGATTAATATTAGATACAGAGAAAACTAATATACTTTAAGAAAAAGTACCACCATTTACTCATTTAGGTAATGTCTTTATGAGTAATTTGAAAAAGCAATTATGGCCTGATTACCATTATTATAATATATCATTGGTTAACAATGCAGAAACATTCCAGGTGCTTAGATATAAGCAGTTCACTGTGATTTAATCTTTCCTTTCTTTATTTGCAATACAATACAAATAATTACTGGTGGAAAAAATGTGGATAAAAGTTGTATCTACAATCATAAATTAGGACAAATGCAAAATTTAAATAATTATTATTGACAGAGATGATTATGGTGTCATACATTTGTTTGATACAAACGAAAAAAAGTTTTAAAATTTTAAAAATTCTTTCTTTTTTTTTTTTTTTTAAATTTCTGTAAGCCTCTGTTAAGGTATTTGAGGAGCAGCGTTTTGTCATTTACAATTTCGACACTCCTGGGAAATGCCAAGTCACAATTCAACCTGTCCAAGGGTGAGACTATCATCAAATGCATACCTTTTTTACTGGTACATATTAAGTTTTAAGGCAGAAGCGGAAATGTTTTTAACTCCATTTGTTAATGATATTGGCATGTTAGCAAAAACCAGGAAGGAAATATTAATTAATATAATGAAAGCAAAAAGTACTATTTTTACTTTTAATATAAAAATGCAGATCCTTAAACTAACTTTTAAAAAATTATCTTGGAAATGGTACAACTTTTAAATTTTTTTTTTTTTAAATTTATCTTTATTTCATTCAGTGTTAGAAAAGACATCTTTTAGACACATTTAATTCATGTTTTTTTTTTTATTATCTTTAACTCTTTCTATTATGAAATGTCTAGTGACAAAGAACAAATTATTTTTGAAGTCCTCTCTGGTGGTAAAGTTGTAGCGGAACGTAAATCGGAGCCATTTCCGAAAAAGAAAATTAAAATTAAAAAGGTATGTGCAAATGTCATCAACATTTAAGTTTCTACAAAGCAATACATTTTATGAATTACAATTATTTTATTAGCCTTGGGAAGTCTATAGTATAAAGAAGTAGCTTCTCATCACCCACATGAATGTATCACAATCAATAATAAAAGTAGACTCCCAAAAGAAACATTTCAACAGGGTATTGAAAAACCCAAATTATGTATAAATATTATGCTGACATCTCCCCCCCCCCCTTCCCCCTCCCCAAAACAAACAAACACAAACATAAAATTCAGTTTTTTTTCCAGACTTTCCAGACTTTCCAGTTATTTGCAACAGCATTGCTCAAAAAGCATGGGGATGAACATTTCTTATTCCTTTCAAGCTGCACATTTATTTTAACAACTGTGCATTATCTCATTTTTGTCAGTGATCAAAAATAGTTTTTTGTTGTTTTTTTTTTTTGTTTCAGAAATCAGGGGAAGAAAGAGGGTCAGATGGTTACAAAATTGGGTTTAAATACAAATCTGACATTGTTCTGGGGAATTACTTTGATGTCCCATCTGTATAACCCACAGATGAATCTAGTGAATAAACAGATGGCCCTGGCTAGCTTGTCTGCTCAAGTGTAGCCGACTGACTGCTAACTTGCTATTTCTGTAATATCTTTATTGAAACAATGTTTATTTCAACAGGGTATTGAAAAACCCAAATTATGTATAAATATAATGCTGACATCTCCCCCCCCCCCTTCCCCCTCCCCAAAACAAACAAACACAAACATAAAATTCAGTTTTTTTTCCAGACTTTCCAGTTATTTGCAACAGCATTGCTCAAAAAGCATGGGGATGAACATTTCTTATTCCTTTCAAGCTGCACATTTATTTTAACAACTGTGCACTATCTCATTTTTGTCAGTGATCAAAAATAGTTTTTTGTTGTTTTTTTTTTTTGTTTCAGAAATCATGGGAAGAAAGAGGGTCAGATGGTTACAAAATTGGGTTTAAATACAAATCTGACATTGTTCTGGGGAATTACTTTGATGTCCCATCTGTATAACCCACAGATGAATATAGTGAATAAACAGATGGCCTTGGCTAGCTTGTCTGCTCAAGTGTAGCCGACTGACTGCTAACTTGCTATTTCTGTAATATCTTTATTGAAACAATGTTTATTTACCCTAAATGACTGAAATGTAACATTGTATTAACACGTATTATTTGGAAGTAGTTTTAAATGTTTTCATTATGAAACAAGGTTTTACTCTCAGCTCAAGTCACTTCTTAATTATGCAAATTCACTTGAAATAGTAGCAAAACAAGGATGATTTGCTAAAGTCAACTTGTCCGTCTGGCTAACCAAAGAGTTTATGCTGTGCAGTGTTTACAAATATGAGGATGACTGGGCAATGCTATTAATTAAAATTGAGGATTTCACTGATGGGACATTTAGTACAATCATGACGGTGACTGCGGTCAATAGATTATTAGATAAAACTTATCACAAAGAATGACAGCACTGTATTGAAACCTACAAACTTTTTTATAGATTGAAATCCATTTATGAGATTTATGGTAGCAACTGACAAGATGAAACTAATTAAATTTGGATCAAAAATTGTTATTTTTAATGAATAACGGAAAGATAACAATCAATACCTGTGTCAGTGTTACTTGAAAGTACAAAGAAATCAAAAGATAATCATTTGAAGAAAAATATTTAGTTAGATCTACTTTCTCAGTATTTGGTTGCACCAATGAAATATTAGTAGACTTATAACTTGGTTTCTGTATAACTTCAAATGTTGCTAATTTTAAAAATAATTTATTAGAAAATTAATTTTTGCAAATTTTTAATACAGCTAAAATGACTAGAATTTACAATTATGATTTGGTTCAATGACTGAACCAATTAATTATAACAGTGCAATACACCAATGATCAAAATGAGGCGAAATATATTTCTATAATATGCATTTAACAAAACCATTTATTGTTTTCATCAAATTATTTCTCCTGAAATCCCAATTTAGCCATCTGTTGATATAAAGTTCTTTATGTGTTTTGTTCTGGGACATTATTGTTTTGATTTGTTCAATGATATTGTTTTAGCGAAGTGCTAAGCCATGTTCAGTAGTGATAACATAATATATGTTATGTTATGGACAAAAACATTTTTTCTTCAGCTCCTATCTGTCATAAATTACGCATGTTTTTTCTTAAAGATAAAATTTAAATCTAGAAATGTTTTGTTTAGTCACCTTTTCTGATCTCATTTAACACGTAATATTTTTCCATGAACAAATTGGGTAGTGCAATCAATACCTCTTAAATACTGATGCTTTTTAACATAAGTTGGGACACTATTTTATTGACCCCAAAATTTAAGTACCGGGTAAACATTATATTGAATGGGCCCTGTCCACATATTTTTTATTGATGGTCTTAGACCTTAAGGTTTTCTCCAGAATCTCTGCTGCTATAAATACTGGTCTCTAAAGGCAGTGACTTTATTCAATAGATTGCATGATAGATTTTCATGTCATTTTAATATCTCACCAGCTTTAAGCAAGTAATTTTCAAAACAAACTACTAGTGTCATTCATGAATGGTCTGTGTTTATTTGCCTTGTAATTGTTTTAGAGACTAAATTCTGCACTATGAATATTTCTTAGTTTAATTAAAATTTCACCGCCTTTTAATTTTCATTATACAAATAGCTCATAGACAATTGTTTTAATTTTAAGATTGTTTAAGAAGGCCTACTGTACATTTTGTGCCAAGTTATTTGATTGGAGATATGACAACTACATTGTGCGCCGAGCTATTTAGTTGGAGGTAAACTCAGTGAGCACTGAGAATATATCAGCTTCTTAGTCCAATGGTTTATTATTGTGCAATAGTTTCTTGTATTTATGAGTTTTGCAACATTTTACTTATGAATAATTATAATCTTTATGTCAATGCAATCATTCGCCCCATTCCATTTTTATTTTTTTATGCCTCTGTTTTGTTATTTACATTTGAAACATATCTGAAAAGATACTTCTTAACTCAAGTTTTTTTTTTTAATTTACACCAAATAAAAAAAAATGAAAATGTTTTATTACATTACTAACAACATGCTATAATGAATCTTTTATGTTTAGATTATCAAATTTTAAACTGTTCATTTCATAGTCAGAACAACAAAATTATGTTTATTTTTTATGTAATATCTATCAGTTGTTTAAATATCTGAAATGAAAGTTTTCCAATTTTAATGTGGTGTTCAATCTTTTCTTGAATCATTTTAGTGTGGTGTTAAACTCTTTCGTGAATCATATTAATGTGGTGTTCAACCTCTTCATGAATCATTTTAATGTGGTGTTAACATTTTTCATGAATCATTTTAATGTGGTGTTAAACCTTTTCATGAATCATTTTAATGTGGTGTTAAACTTGTTTGTGAATCATTTCAGTGGGGTGTTAACCTCTTTCTTCAACATAGTGACAGAACCTGAAGGCATTTTCTTGCAGTACATGTTCTTTAAACTTTATTGTAAGTTGCTATAGTTTTGTTTGTATAGTCAAGTTAGGCTACATGGATTTGTTTAAGATTTTGTTATTGTAGACCTGTACAATAATCAAGGATCTGGTGAGATGGAATTTTTGTGTTTTAAAAAGCTGGATAAGTTGAAAAGACACCTGAATGCTAACTTTTTGGTTTGTTCTTGAGACCACTGAGCTCAGGCAGGGCCTGTGCTATGGTCTTGATGGAGCCTGGGCACAGCCAACACAAAGGTATATCACAACTTGATATACCAAATAAAAACAACTATCATATACAGAATAGTGTAATGATGATGATGATGATGCCCACCTTGTCCTAAGCATATTCCTACCCTGGCCAACTACTAAACTTTATCTATAAAGGCCTGTTGTCCCCAATGTTAGAACTCTGTGAGACCAAAATGTGTTTCAAGAAAAATTCATTTTTTGGGATTTTTGATATTTATATTGTGTTCACTGACTTGCATCAACAAGAATAATGCGAAATAAATGTAATTATTAAAGTATTCAAAGTTTCGCAGGATTTTTTCAAATGATACATTTCATACTAAGTTGTCTCCTTCTGAACTATGTCAAATAATTGTTTTTTATTATGAAGTTTTTGTACTTATTAGTACTGTGCACTATAAATAAATTAGTAATCTCATCAAACAAATGGTTCTGTTATTATTAAATTTATTATCATTAATATTAATAAAGCACTTGTGCCATAATCTAATGACAATTTTTAAAAAAGGAAGATCTGTTTAAGAATCTATTGTCATATCAAGCTTTAAAGGCGAAACACCTTGTGGAATTGTCCCTCTTATGTCACAGACTTCCCACTTTTTAACAAAATTTTATGATTGCACACCAAAGTACCTTGCAGAACACCACACGTTACAAAGTCGACTTTTGTCTTTGATTTTTGTCCATGTTTGTCTATGACCTCCTCCACACAAGGTACATTTTTTTTGTTGAACTCTCTGGTCAGATTTGTTATGGTGGATAACATGACTCTCTTCCCATCCGACTTCCTGCGGATATAAACCGGTGCCTCTCCCTGGGGCATGGACATCCGAGTGGTCACCTTGAAGTTCTTGTAGAAAGGTTTCTCCAGCAGGCACACGCTGGCTGTGCAGTGGCTGTGGGGTGCTACGACTATGTCACTGGTGGCCTCTGTGAGGATAGTCTCCTCGAAAGTCTCACAGTCGGTCTTGGTGACCTGAACACAAGGAATAAATCAGTGTATTCCAGTTGTGGCCATTCAGTAGGCTGCTTGTAAAACAGAGGGATTTCTTTAATTTAATGTAAAAAATAGATCAGACTTAATGCAGAACAAGAGAGCAAACAAAAACTGGAATGATTTATTTCTTCATACATTATGTATTCCTAATGAGTGATTTTTGTACACTGGAGACAAACTTTAGTTGTATTTCAAGTTTGATTATGGTGTACAAAATCACACATTTTGAAAACATGTTCTAGGACTATTACACGTAACATTTCACTATTAAAATTTGTCAGATTTGCATACACATTAAAAAAAAAATTAATCAATCAAGGATTGTATATCCATGTATTATTCAAGATTATATTAGAAAAGTAAGTTAAGATTATCCAATGATAAGGTGATGTATTTAAATTGAATAAAACATTTTCTAATTAAATTCCAGACAAAGTGTCGTTGGAAACCGTTTAAAAACTAGTGGAATAGGCAAACGTACTGATATTATAAACATTATTTATTTATTTTTTAAAACTTACCTGGAAATGCATGTCTGCTTCTATCCCCAAGCTGGTATCTTTGGTCAAACCGATGCTGAAATTCGCCTTGCCTCCAAACGTGAAACCTTTCTGAAAGGAGACACTTATCACGGTCTTTCTTGACTTCTCAATACGGAACTTGTACGTCTGTCTGTCTGGCGTGTCGTTGCCGAAGAAGGTTTCCAAAGACACTTTGTCTGGACTTAAATTAGAAAAAAAACATACATGCAAGTTAAATACGCCACCTTATCATTGGTTTACCTCTACTTGATACTTGAAGTCAATCATTATACTTATTATATCGATATACTATGACGATATGGGGATTGATATTTGTTTCTTTAAAATTTATTTTTGGGGCATATTTTACACTTACACATTTAAATTTTAACAGTAAAATGTTAATAGTAATACTCCTCACTTTGCGTTTCACATCTCTTCAACCGACGCCTCTCTCTTCAACAACGCTCTCTTTAACCAACTCTCTCTTCAAATAGCAACTTCCTCTGCAAATAACGCCATTCTCTTCAACCAACGCCCCTCCTTTCAACCGACGCCCCTCCTTTCATCCAGCACCCTCTTTTCAACCAACGCCCCTCCTTTCATCCAACGCCCTCTTTTCAACCAACGCCTCTCTTTATACTACATGACAAAATCATCTCGTGTTAAAAATACGGTCTCTACACAGTAGTTTCCGAATCCCTTTTCAGCCTTGTCCCCATTTCAAGGAAGCACTGTAACCCATGGGCTGGGAAAAATCACGAAGCCATACAAACACATTGACAGTTGTTAAACGCCAACCGGGTAAACGGCATGCATCCTTATAAGGCAGGGTTTCATATTAGGCAGTCAGGAAATTGTAATGTAAGTCGACCGAATTAAATCCCTACCTAGTTTTAGTCCCCGAGATTATCATAGCTTTATTCTGCTGAGGGATACTCGCACCTTCCTTAGAATCACCTATGACCTCTTGTTCCTCTTTGTCATCGGCGTCGACCCCCACGACCGTGCTGACATGCTGAAAGACGTAGTAGTTCTCAGGCACGTCGATCTCAAAGTTATCTCTCTTCAGGCCGAACTGTTGAAATTTGGTCAATTCCTTCACGTAACTGTTCCATGCGCTGATAACACAATTGATTTTTAAACAAGTCAAAGTAAAAAAACAAACAAAAAAGCTATTTAAAAAGTTAGAGAACGATTTACAAGCATTTGATTGCAATTCAAATCTCTAATACACAGGCCTATTAAAAAATCAGATGCAGATGTAGAAGACATGTTATTTCAATTTAGCTCTGTATAATCGCGTCTTCCTAGGGACGATATCTGGTAATCCCCCATCGTTATACATTAAGTGGTGTGGCGAGACTGCTACTAATGTTGAACTTCTCCCCCCACCCCTCTTTTACTGCGACACTGTTAAGATATTTAGTCTTCAAAGAGTAGAATGTCAAGCAGTATGTGCAATTTCAGCGCTCTGTGGCAGCGGTTCTAAACCTTTTTAGTGCGGCGACCCCTTGATAACACTTGCCAAGTTGTGGCGACCCACGAACAGGATTGTTGTTGAAATTTGAAACCAAAACACGGTTGTTCAGATGTTAACAGTTGGGGGAATCTACCATTTTGACTTAACAACATTCTATAGTTTTAATTTTCAGTTATAGTTTTTATATATATGCTAAGCTTCCATTTTTAATTTCATAATTTGAGAATAATCATTTCAAATAACTCGGAATTACTTATATCGCATGGGCATTATGTTTTCAAAATAAGTGAATTTTGTACTCTAGTGACCAACTTGAAATACCACTGAAGCTTGTCTTACTTTTAAAGCATGTCAAAAGTGTTTTCGAGCAATGGAACTATGAAGTGGGACAACCTACAGAAAGTTCAAAACAAAGCAATTGGGATTAATTTTGGAAATTATCAAAAATTAATAAAAATAGAAATTCAAAATATTGAACTGTTTACCTTTAAATGTGTTTAGGCCTAGCGTGAAATGACTAATCAAAGGTTACAACATTTCAGTGGAAGCTACCAACTTAAATGTTACAAAAATTCAGTGGAAGCGACCAACTTTAATGTTACAAAAAAAATCAGTGGAAGCTACCAACTTCGAAGTTACAAAAGTTCAGTGGAACCTACCCAATTTTGAGTTTCAAAAATTCAGTGGAAGCTACCAACTTTAATGTTAAAAAAAAAAAAAAAAAAAAAAAAAAAAAAAAAAAAAAAAAAAAAAAAAAAAAAAAAAAAAAAAAAAAAAAAAAAAAAAAAAAAAAAAAAAAAAAAATTTTTTTTTTTTTTTTTTAAAAAATAAAAAAAAAAAAAAAAAATAAAAAAAAAAATATAAATTATAAAATTTTATTAATTTAAAAAAAAAAAAAAAAAAACACAATTTTTTTCTTAAATTAGTTTCTGACGTATACCCAATGGATTTTGTTTGTTTGATGTTTTTTTGTTGTTGTTTGTTTTGTTGTTTTGTGTGTGTTTTTTTGTTGTTGTTGCTGTAGTGTAGTCACAGTGACAATAAGAAAATAAAATGAGATCGAAAATCTCAAATTTTTAAAAAATTCTCAAATGTCAGAAGTCTTATGCAACCTCCGGCATATTGTCAAGCGATCTCAATGGGTGGTCGAAATTCACATGTTAAGAACGATTGCTCAGGGGGTCGCAATAGAGAATTATGAGAGCTCAAACAAGTGCAACCACGACTAACAAA